ATATGGTCAAAACAGGCTTGGTCTATTAGGTGTTCAGCGTTAATTCGTGAAAGTTATCCGATTGTCTTTACTTATTCCTGAAGTCATAGTGTTTCCTAGCTAGCAGTAAATCAACCTTCAACGTAAACCTTATCTTTGTTGTCATATAATAGTTATTAATGTGGATATGTGAGAGGCATTTACTGTGATTTGTGTCAGCAAGTCATTCAAGTTAGTTTTAGCCTTGTTGTGGATTTCTCATGATGACACTGCAACACAACTGTGTGATCTTGTATGACAAGTTATGAACAAAACTTTGACTATTTGAGCTGACTGCTCAGAAAGCTAACGTTAACGTTGGTTATGGCAAAGACGTATCACCTCAATCATTTAGGATTTCTATGTTAAAAAGAAAATTAACAACATATAAAGGGGAAAACAATTATTTATTTAGCAATCATGTTCACACATACAGCAGGGTCTGTGAGGCCACATTAAATGAGGATATAAAGTGAATAAGAACACAAGGGTTATGTGAAGCATACAATTTCAAAATGTATTACCAATATTATAAATGTGTTAAAAATAGGGATATTCATTATAAGGACAGGTGAAAAATATTGAGTTATCCTTTATCAATCAATCTTTATTTATTGCCCCCAAATCTGTTTGCAGACAGATCAAAACGTAGTTAATACCAAATCAAAGCCAAGGAGATTTAATTTAAAAGTTAACCCAACCATCAGATTCGTAAAACATCCAAAGGCTAAAAGCAAAGAAACCATACATTTTGTTTGAGGCTTCATTTAAGCTTATTTGTACTACTGGTAGTCTCCTAAGTAATCTCCTACCTGACAGAATCAGCTACCTTTTTATTGAAACATAATTTATATGACTGGTTGTCTACAATAACTTTTTCAAATGTTTAAATCCGCAGGAGTGTGCTATAAATGAGTTGCACTTTCCACCTCCTCGTTTCCCACAGCGGCTTCTACCATGGCCGTTTTCTACTCATTTTGTCTCGACAGACCCTGTTGCTCAGAGAGCTCAGCTCAATGCACCAGATGAGCCGAAGCCTGCGAGAGAGCTACAGGATCCTCCAGCTGCCTGACGAGGCACAAAGCAGTCCAGGTCAGGGGAAAGAGGCCTACCTGCGCCTCGCTAAGCTCTATCACCCAGACTCTGGGGCTCCAACTGCAGATGCAATGCTTTTTGCTCGAGTTGAAGATGCCTACCGTGCCGTTCTGACACATCAGACTAAGACCAATCGCACCGATGGAGGCAAGCAAGTGGAGGATGAAGATAATTCAAGAGCTAAAGCCTTTCCCCACAGACACTAGCTCAGGGTGTGGGTTCAGGCGCGCCCAGCCAGCGTGAGCACCAGTATCGAAAGATTCGTGTCGACCGGGCATCCGAGCCGGGTTTTAACTACCGGCAGAGGGAGCACGAGAGGGCAGCCGCTGCAGAGGGGGCAGTAATAGAACGGGACATTCGTCAGCGGAGCCGAAATATCAAGATCACTCAGGCTGTGGAGCGGCTTGTGGAGGACATGATCCAGGAGTCCATGGCACGAGGAGATTTTAGAAAGTTGAGTGGAGCTGACAAGCCCCTCAATAAGTTTGAATACAATCCATACACTGATCCTATGACCCACAACCTCAACCGCATCCTCTTCGACAACGGTTACCAGCCACCCTGGGTCGTCAAACAACGCGACATCCGAGAGACCATCTCCGAGATCCGAAATAAGTTATTGGAGGAGAGAGCCAGGCTTGGTGACCCATTGGCTCCTAAAGAGCAAAGCAAATGGGAGCAGCTGTGTGAATCCGCAGAGGGGGATTTAGTGAAACTTAACAAGACGGTGGACGATTACAACCTCATTGTTCCGATGCTCAACATGCAAATGGTTCACTTCAGTTTATCACGAGAGATTGACCGAGCTGTGAAAGGAGCACACCAACACAGACTGGACCAGCAGAGAGAGAGAGAGAAAAGGAGCGAGAGAGGTGGAAGGAAGAGAAAAAAAGATCCAACGCAGTAACTAAACCTCAAAACACAAAACAAGGCCTGCTGTGTTGGATGAGGAACTTTTCTCCGATTAAAATACTAAAACTCTGAATCAAACTAAACAGAAAAAATATGTAAAATCAATAGGGGTAATATTTTAGAGACACTTACAGTATATGCAATCAGAAACGATTCTGTCACCAATTTGTTTCTGTGTCACTGCTGTTGTGCAGATATGCTGGATTGTCATCAGGTGCTATTGGCAAAACAGTATTGAGCGATCATGGGTATGTGACTGTAAAATGTGAGGATCTGCATGTGTTGATAAAGAACATGAGGTACATTCTATGAAATTACTAATCTGAAAAAACACACCTGACACTGTAAATTGTGGTGCTATGTGACATTAAAAGTTAAAGTGGACCTATCATGCTATATTTGAATAATATAGTGTAGGACCATACCTATATAAGGCATATTTATACTTTATTTTTTTCAAAATACCAAACAGATCAAGCATTTTAGCCATGCCTCATTTTGCTCATTTTGACATTTTTTAGCTCTGTTTTTGCAAGGGCAGATTCTGTGAGAACAGCACCATCTACTGGCCTGGCATATGTACTACAGCGTCTCCAGCGTGTTCGAACGCAATGGCCGTGGCTGTCTCCTCCTGATTGGTGGAGTTGGCCCAATAGCCGTAGCGCCACCGTCCTGACGTCAGGACAGTGTTCAAATCTGCATCAGTTTTTATCAGATCCGTTGCAGCCCCTTTTTTAGAGATTTGGGTTTGGAGGAAAATAGAGAGGGTTGTGTTTTCTGACACTTGGTGAGTTCCCTGGAACACCGGGGACACATATTCATGTATAAAAGACGTACAAAAGTGCATTTTGCATGATAGGTCCCCTTTAAGGTGATCAAAAATCTAGTGTTACAGTGTATTAGATGTTTAACTGTGGGAAGTGTTTAAATTAGGGCTGTCAGTCGATTAAAATATTTAATCGCGATTAATCGCATGATTGTCCATAGTTAATCGCGATTAATCGCAAATTAATCGCACATTTTTTATCTGTTCTAAATGTACCTTAGAGGGATATTTTTCAAGTTTTTAATACTCATATCAACATATGAGTGGACAAATATGCTTTATATGTTTGTTTATTATCATTTGAACAATGACAAATATTCTCATGAATATTAAACACAACAACCTGAACATTACAAGTGTGTGTGTGTGTGTGTGTGTGTGTGTGTGTGTGTGTGTGTGTGTGTGTGTGTGTGTGTGTGTGTGTGTGTGTGTGTGTGTGTGTGTGTGTGTGTGTGCGCGCGCGCGCGCGCGTGTGCGCGCGCGCGCGCGCGCGTGCTATGTGCAGCTCAAGGCATATATGCTCGAACGGGAGCTGCAATCATGTTCGCCCGTACTGAGTGTGCTGACTTTTCGTACAATGTCCCACTGTCTGGCTACCTGCATAAAGTCAAGTGCTCGGCGTAGTTGTCGGCGAAATGTCATTGAAACAGCTCCTTATATCCGTTAGCGCAGCTAGCTAGCACCAGATGCTAACAACAACAACAACAACAACAACAACAACAACACGTAAAGTGTGCCTCGCTCGCGCGAGTCGCGCCACACATACACACACCCTCCCGGTCCTCCCGATGGCCAGTCCGGGCCTGCCGGTGAGCGTGGAAGTGTGGTCTGCCACAAGCGAGTGGCAGGAGCGGGGCTATCAGCTTGTAGATGGTATTTTAAACTCGATGCGCTCTGAAACTACGGGGCGGGGCGGCCGAGGACAAAAAATACACATGCGTTAATCGCGTTAAAATAATTAGTGGCGTTAATTTTTTTTTGCGTTAACGCGTTATTAACGCGTTAACTTGACAGCCCTAGTTTAAATAGCTAAATGTCTCATTCTAGTCTGGCAGCTGCTCCAGTGTTGCAGGGTTGCATATGACGATGGGTTCCTTGCCTCTGGCTCCGTTTCCTGCTGCTTCCCTGTGCAGCGCCTGGGCGACGGCCCTGGACCGAGACACCACCTTGGTCCAGTCGTGGGCGATGTACTGGTGGTACGGATCTTGAGAGCTCTCAAGCTTCTTGGAGCGAATGTAGCTGAGCATGATGCCGAATGTGAAGAAGCTGAACATGCCAACCACCAGCAGGATATATAGCATGCTCTGAGACTGTGGCCGTTTCTCAATCGCGAGGATGCTGGCTTGGTAGCACATCCTTGAAATATTGGCTTGGAAGCAGGGGCGGACTGGCCATCGGGACGAATCCCGATGGGCCGGTAATGAAGTGGGCCGGTCGGACGATGTGGGCCGGTCGGATAAGTCACAAGCCCAACCCGTCGACAATCTCCTCGCGGTATTTACTTGCGGCACCGAGGTGGGCCGCTCAGATAAGTCACTAGCACCCCCCCCCCCTTGATAATTTACTTGCGGTACCGAGGTGGGCCGGCGATACCGAAGTGGGCCGGTCGTGAGTCCCGGGCTGATTTGTAATCCCAGTCCGCCCCTGCTTGGAAGCCAATATCCTCACGATTGAGAAACGGCCTGAGAGTTGGCCCTGGCTCCGGCTCCACCCCCTTGGTGCACAGCCTGCTGGGTAGTGTAGTTCTGAGGCAGCTGTGGAGACAGCATGCCTGTGCTGTTGAGGCAGTGCTGCAGGAATGAGAGCAGGGTTGCGGTCGAATAGTCCATTTAGCTTAGGAACCTTCCTAACGGAGTGAAATGACACGGAAGTCCCTCAGTGGCAGCCGTGATAAGTGCCGTTTGAATTCTCTAAATTAAAAGGAAAGGAGGTTTCAAACTTCCTTTATAACCTCCTTTAGCTTAGGAACCACTGGACCTCCCTAACCGAAAGGAGAGGAGAAAATGCTGCCCCACAATGCCTTGCGGCCGCGGCATTTGCCGTCACACAACAGTCGGCTGTTCACGGAAACAACCGATTATGAACGAGAAATTATATCATGAAAGTTACGGTGCTTATAGGCTAGTTGCACGGGATGACGTATTTCCATTTCCGGTTCATTGAGTGGGCGCTTGTTAACATCCGGTCTACGGTAGAGCGGGTAGATAACAACTATGAAGGTAAGTGACAAACAAAGCTGTAGTTACTGGCTAACTTTGACAACTTGACAGTCTTGATACAGTGTAAAGCGTTTTAAAGATGTACTATTACGTGTTTTGGATAACATGAATGATGTCCAATTCCCCACAGTTTCAAACAAAGATCTACCTTCAGGGAGAGTGAGCGTCAGGGCTAGCTGTTACAGGTCCATGAGGAAGCATGAAAAGCCTCACGATCTCAGAGTAGGGAGGAAAATAAAAAGTGTTCATCGGTTCAAAGCCTCAATCAGGTTCATGTTCTGGGGTTTTGATGTGGCTAGAGTAGGTAACCTGTGATTTAGGATTCAAAAAAGCCCAGCTAGCTGACGTGTTGCAACAGATTGCATAGTGACAATAAATTAGCTCACATCAACTGGTAGCTAGCTATGTGTGTGTAGCATGAAGGGGCTACAGATTTATTTTCGTTTTGTAACCCTCTCGTGTAAAATGATAAATACATTAGCTAAACCCAAACTTAGCTTTCATCAAAGATTATTAATGAGAGGTTGAAACCCGTCTCTGCTTTCATGGAAACCCCAGAAACTGGTTGTGACGGCTGCTGTTCTTTACTGTATGGTTAGTATAATCCATGTAGGGTCCAGTTATTTGTATGGGCCAGTGTTAGGTAAGTGCTGGTTTTGTACCCTACATCTATGTTAAGCTGTTCAACGTTCTACTAACACTATTTTATGTAGTTATAATATAATAAGATAATAAATTGAGACAGCTGAGAGAGTTTATCTGTTTGAATGTCCTTAAATTACAGTATTCCAAACAGCAGAACTTCTGTGTATGTGATGTGACTGATAACCTGACATGGTTTAGCCTTTTCCCACACCTACTACTTGCCTGATCAGCCTGCTCTCAGCTTTCTCATTTTTCTGTGTTGTATTGAAGCGGTGTTCTAAATGTAAAATGACTGACATTTTATTTTAATGTGTAGATTGTCTTTGAGAACTGCTCACCCGTGGAGATTGCAGTGGCAAAGTGTTCCTGTGTAGCTGGAACAGCACTCTGCAACCACAATGTTGCACTGCTGTTCCAGACCGCACACTACTCCACACTCAACCTGGCTGCTGTACCCCCTGTCCTCAGCTGCACTGAAACAGAGCAGCGATGGCACAAGCCAAGAACCATGGTAAGTACAGTATGTGTTCACTGTTAAGGAATAATTCTTCTAGATATCTAACCTTTTACTCTGACATGTGTTATCTCCTTTAAGGAAAGGCCTTGGTGCCATATGTGTTGTTGTCACCAGTGTGAGACCGGTCAACTTGACTGGCACGAAGGGTAATTGTTGTGGGAACACTGAAGCACTTCTTTATCGGTGTTTGTGGGCTCTAGGATGTGAAATCCTTGAGGCCATGAGCGTCGGACGCAGATGATTCAGTGTTTAGTCTACTCCTTCAGAGATGTTGATTTCTCTCTGTGAACCTGTTAAAAGGTCTAGCATAGAGAGAGGTTCTTCAGAATTGACGTGGCAACTCTACCGTGTGGTCAGAACCTCTGACTCTTTGATTTGTGATGTGAATCCTCCGGCCGAATACTCTGAATAAACCCATCAGTGTTTGACATCAAAGCTCCAACTCTCACCGTGTCTCCTTCCTGAGTCGGTGACTCCATGCATTACTACACAGAAGTTTCCTCCACAAATTGGCATTGTCGGCAGGATACCAACAGATCTTCAGAGACTGGTAAGTGTGATTTCAAATCTACATTTGGACATTGCCTTACCAGAATCTGTGATTGACGGTATCCTAAAATTATCTGTGAAGCTAAGCGGCTGCGTTTCGTTTTGGTTAATGAACATTTGGGGCTAGTAACCCCAGGGGATCATCCAGGGACTCTGTCTTGGCTGGTTCCCTCTGTGTGTGCTGCTCGGGACGTATGTGCCGTGCAGGCATACACGGAGATGTTTAAAAAGACCTTAATGAGGGCAGCAGTAAAGTGGAACTTCTGTGTGAAATCAAAATAGAGATTTGTAATGAACAAATCGCCGAGATTCCGGGGGTTTCAGCGGCCAACACTAGCAGTTAACTAAAGCAGCCAGAGATATTACCCCCAGCGCCTCTAAAAAAAACACGGCTCCAGCTGCTGCGGCTCCGGGGAATGTGTGTCAAATACCTCCCCGTATCTGCATGAGCTGGTGCCGTGAACTCAGAGGGAGAAAATCACAGCTTTTGTCTATAGCTTTAACTCACACCACCGCCGTCTCTATTAAAAACGAGACGGTTTAAAAGCACTCTCGTGGCTTGTGGCCGTTTACGACGTGCTGGCCGGTGCGAGGTGCGTGCATTACCTGATGCGACAGGCTCCCTACATTGCTGGAGGAGCTGGTGTCGGTCCGGGGTGCATACATAAAATTATAGGCTAATTGATCATGGGTGGGCAGTGGTATGCAAGTGTAGAGCAAAACTGTGTTTCATCGTTGGGATGAGCATGATGGGAGGTGTGTAGGCTGGTCGAGTAGGACTACAGTTAACTGTGTGGTTTCGGATAGAAAGGGTAGAGGAAAAAAAGTCTATGTGCTCCAGATCGGGGGGGCATAGCACCACTAGAGCAGGGATAGTGGAGTCGCAAGAGGATAAGCTAGTTATTGCTCTTGGACGGTCTTCAGGCACCGATCTAAGGACTTGTATACAAGGGTGGAGGTACGAGTCAAGGTACCCCACTGGGTTCCCATTGGGAGAGATCAAATAGTCCCTACCCCCTCTGAAACCTCTTTAATCCGGACTAAATTGAGCTGGATGAACTTTGCTGTCGCATTGTTGTTTATTACGAGTTCATCATGTTTGTTTGTCTGATTGTTTGTATCAGGGGTCTATATTGGTTTGTCTAACCGCCGTCTTGTGCATGTTTTGTAACAACTAATAATGAATCAGTCCATAGCCAGGGTAAAATAAACTAAGCTTTAGTTAACTCACCAAAAGTAAATGACTTGAGAAAGATAAATAATATATAGTGTTTTGCAAAATTCTGGTAGTATGGATGTGCTGCAAAATGAAAAGAAGAAGCAAAAGAGTGTTTTTATGTCCTGCATCTGAGTGTGCAGAGGAAATGTAAACAAGAAGCACACTGTTCAGGGTGTGCGCTGTAGGTGTAAGAAGAAAATAAGATTATATTACTTTTAAGAATACATTCTTAAATTGTATTGCTGGTATGTTAAGATATGTTTGTGACCTTTTATAAACCCTATGCCCCGTCCTGCACCCTGAGACCCTAATGGCGCAGTTCCACTGCAGCGCGGAGCTCGCTTTAAGCGTGCCGTGTCGTGCCGTCCCCTTTTTTGGTTGTGCTTTCACTAGGCCTAGTACCGGCGCGGCACGGCGCGGGGCCACTTTTTCACCTCTTTTCTGGCCCTAGAAAATTGTCGTTCTATCGGGGCCAACAAACAGGGCTGAGTCGGGCTGAGTATGCTAAACTAGAGAGAGGAGCGCTGGCAAGAGGGCTAGAACTACAACAAGATGGACATATTTGACCGTGATTTAATTGTAATGCACGTTTCAAAATGATACCGAAGTAACAACATACTGATACCGGTTAGTAAAAACCATGAATTAATGCTTTGTCAAGTCTGCAGACAGACGGCAGGCGAAAAACCTTTTAAAATGCGTGTTTTTCTAGATGGAGATTGGCTAAGCTAACGCAGTATATGCTCTGACCGTCCACACTCACAACAACGGCCTATACAGACATAAATAAAGCAGCGACTGTATTCACCATGACACAGGCAGTCTGTGGTGTGTACTTGTTTAACTTTTGTCGAGTTTCTGAACATATATAAGGAGCTGTGAGCTCTGAGTGCTAACAGCTAACGGCTGTGTTGTTTTTCTGGGGTTCTCATTGAAGATGACGTCACGGCTCCGCCTACACTGCGTTACTATAGTAACTACCCCAGTTCCTAAACTGTAATGGAAGCGCAGCATGAATTGAGTCGGCCCTGTTAAGGCCCAACGCGGCCAAGCCGTACCGAGCCGTACCGAGTGTGGCCGAGGCCGACCGTGTAGTGGAAATGCGCCATAAGAGGCATCATTGCTGGTCGTAAAAAACCCTGCCTGAGGAGGTCAGGGTTGCAAAATCTGTCTGCTGTTTTAGGTCAATGTTGTATTATTTGTTTCATTTATTCTCAAATCTATGTATTGTATGGTAATAATGAAAAAACGTAAAGGAATTGAACACATTCCGAAACAAAGCTGATAAGACAGAACTTGACTCAGACATAATACAAATTATTGTTGAAACCTTTTGCGCTGTTGCTGCAAAATGGAAACTTTGTTGATTATCTGTTCCAACTGGCCACTGGATTCAGATAATTAATATAAGTTGAAGTTTAATTACAGTTTTAAATATAGTTTAACATTCTTTATTAAACTGCTTCAAATGATTTCTCGTATCAACCAATTGCTCTCCATAGACATTACTACAATTCTAATAGTTGTTAAACTACTGACAAGTTTTCTGAAACCGAGCTTATGAACAAAAGAGTAAAGGTCGCTGGTTAAGCCAGGATCAATATATTTGTTGACGTTTTCATTACAGTGTGCATAATAAATGTGTTAAATGAATTGAGCAATTATTTAAAAAGTATAATGTTGCAATCTCTTTACAATAAGTAATTACAGTTAACAAAGAAGTAGAGGTTGTTTTCCAAGGGCCTCTCCTTCACAGCCCTACACTTTAAATCATGAGACTTTCAAATCATAACAGACAGAGATCGGTATCACTTTGTGTTGCAAGCCAAATCCATGTAAAGGTTCTACTTGAGCCCAATTTAAATACCATAAAGAAAGTATTGAACCCAGCTCAAGCTAAATGTCAAATGTATTTAATTAATGTACAAGTGTTTTGATTTATTTCAAATGTTCTAATCTCAGCTTCTTTCGAGTTCAGTCTAAGCAACAAATTGTTTCTCATAACATTCTCACTGCTGTCCCAAATGTTTTAACCTTGGGCAGACAAGCTGTTCACACACCCACACACACACACACACACACACACACACACACACACACACACACACACACACCCACACACTTTGGATAAGTAGTCACCTTATCCACATTGTAAATTGTTGCCTTCTTTAAAGTTATTAGTAATTTAAGATTAATTATTAAATTAAATGTAGAATAAGATAAAATAAATAAAATAACTTTGACTTGATCGTTTTGTTCACAACATTAGACCTGTCCTCTAATCTCTACTAGAATAAGATAAGTGTGCATGTTTGGATGTTTTAACACTCCTGTAATGTACCTCATCTTAATATCTTTTTCATTACAGAGCTGGGAAAATGGTGTATTGATTAGATTCTGATCCGTGCACGTCCAATTTTGACTGACTTTAGTTCTAATGTTAATGTTAATTTGACTTCAACCCATAAGTAATTATTTAAATGAACTCTAAATGTCACATGATGATGGATTAGTGTTCCGCATTTCTTCCACTAATTTGTTTTACAATTAGGCCAAAGGTAAAGAGAGACATTGATGACCTTGTGTCCCTTTTGTTAGTACGTGGTTCCATTTTGTCTATGGCCTTGGACGGCTTCACTAAAAGTCACCCAGTTCTGCCCTGCTGCAGTCCGGCTGAGTGCAGTCACAGAGATGCTATGGCTGCTCTACATGACATTAATGGTGTGGTCCGAGAATGGACACCATTTCCTGCTCCCAGAGAGAATGACACTCCTCAAACTGAACATTACAGCCGTTGATACTGTCTCACATGGGTCTGCTCCCCCCCACTGAGCCATGAACTGAAAGCATGACATCTGCTATAAACACTTGGAAGCCTCCCTGTCACACCAGCACCAACCCTTGGGTCAGTCAGATGAGACTAACGGCTTCACTTAGGGCATTTGGTTCAGATACATGACTCTCGTTACCGCAGAGTGGGTTGTTTTTAAGGCTATTCATACTGCTATGCAGAGGATGCCTGTAAGTTGGCGAGCTGGTAAAAGCCCCTACTATTGTTTCAAATAGGCCTAATGTCAGGGGTCTCTTAATGTCTAGTTCTACATGTATTCACATTATATAGACAATGTTTCCACCTGGTAAAACTGAAGGCTGCACAAAACTCAGGCTACAATACAACCATTCTGTTCTGCTCTAACGATTCAATGTATAGATTCTACATCAAAACAATTAGCTTTTATTGTTTCCAATGATAACGTCACCTTAAGTGGAGGAATGCAAACCTGTTTTCAAATGTAAGGTTTTGATTTTGTTTGACATTTCTCAGTAATGACACCCTCAGACATCCAATATCATTCATGCTATGCCTTCAGTAATAACACAGATGTTAAAGGGATGAAACTTTTCCTCCCAAATCAGATATGCTTTGTTTTTCAACAAATGTATCCATTCCTAGCCCTGCATAATATATGTTTATCACAATGGTTTTTGTAAGCTGCACACAGGTGATACTGAGTCTTCTCGATTAATAGATTATAAACTATACCATGCTTAAATAGACTCCTAAGTTATTATTTCATATGTACCATATGCAAGAAAAGGGAGGGAAGAGTCAATTATATTGAGTAATTTATTATATTTCTGATAAACTAATATGTTATCAAAAGGTAAAGGGTGAATTAATATACATTTAGAATCATTGAGAAGGGGTTATATCCACAGGGACAAGCTCACCTTTAACTTACAATAACATTTCTCTGCTATGGACTGATGAGTATATGATTCTTGCATGTTAAATGACTAACCCAAACCTTCAAAATGATAATGTGCATGTGTCAGGAAGGCTCCCAAATAATTCTGAGGGGCCTATCCTATTTTTGTAATTAAATGATAATGTGCTAATCCATTACTTTGAGTTGTCTTCACTCAGAAAACATCCCTATCAGGTGGTAACCCAATAACTAGGACAGCTCTCAAGGCCAAGGGTCAGAGAGAGAGGGTCACACTCTCCGGGTGCAGAGAGCACCCCCAGCCACGTGCAAGGAAGCACGAGGTCGTTCGAGATGGGATGCTTCTCTTCACCTTTCTGATGAGATGGGATGCTTCTCTTCACCTTTCTGATAAGATGGGATGCTTCTCTTCATCTTTCTGCTCGGTGGGCTCTAGCAGACAACCCTGCAGGACGAGCGAGGGTTTCAGAGGCTTCTATAATACAATGTTCCATGTTTCTTGGAGGAGTTTGATGTCTTCCTAACCTCTCCCATCACGGGGGGGACACCTGGATGCATCAGGAATACGCAGTTGCACTCAAGCAGATAGCAGAAGGAATACCGGCAGATGAGCCTCCGTCTCACTGGGGGGATCAGCTACAGTGCTCACTGAATGAGCCACACAAAAGCAGAGCAATTGGGGGGTTGAAATATGGCGCTCTGATGAAGAAGAGTTTGAGCCAATCAGCACCTCAGTGCTAATCTACAGTATCAGGATGCCTTTACACACCAGACACTCGGTGTCATAAAGGGAGGAGGAGAACGAGTCAGGAAGCCTGACGGACATGTTCTTCCAGCTCTTGTACAAAGATGAACTTTGAATTGAATGACCAGATGTTTAAAGATGTACAATTAATGATTGTTTTTTATATTTCCAATGACCAGACATGTGTTAAGTAGTGGTGATAAATATATTTAGTCAGATCAGATTAGATTTTCACACTAAACAAAATTAATAAATAAATATTCTCAGATTATAAGGTATTGAATAATAAGGTATTTCTAATATTATAACAGATAATGTTAATATCCTTAATCATCCAGCAATCAGGCTTAACAACACAACTCTTTAATGTATTACCCATGCACAGACAGACATAAAATGATGTTTCAAGTACTGGATTAATTTCAGTTTTGGCCCAAAACAAATATTTATAATAATTCATATAACAATTATGTAGCATATTTGATCCTCAAATTAGAGAATTATAATTTAAAGAAATTGATATTCTATATTCAACATTAGATAAACACAGAAGAACCCTTTCCAAGTACCATAAGTAGATTTTCAGGTAAGTATGGCTAATAAGGATAAGTGATAGACTTAATTTGGTACAGATCAGTTGTAGCATTTACAAATGTATGAATTAAAGTTTTAAGAATGTTTAATCTTTCCTTTCCAGGTTTTTACAAAAGTCTTTGAATATTTGCCTAACTTTTCCTTTTCAGATTTTGAACAATGTACTTGACTAAAATGAATGTATTGATTTTACTAAGACTAAGTGCCTTACTCTTGACTAAAGCGTAATGAAGTAAACGTAAAGTAATCCTAAAATTGAGGACACTGCAACTTTGTGGATTACAGATTGATCAAATCACCACTGTGAATTTTATGCCTTAGCTGGATCTCTTATGATCCTAAGTTTTAAATGCTTTTGACTAGTGATTGCCTTAAAGCTAATCTTTAAGCTGTTTCCGGTTTTGATTTTATAGTTTGATAAATGACATTAACTAATGGTTTAAATGATAAAAGATATTAGTTTAAAACAAATATTTTGCTATTATGTATCTGTGTTTTTATGTGTGTTCATTATTCTACTTATTGACAAAAGATGCTCCAAACACTGATGAGAGATAATTTTTCCTATTATGATTGCCTGTATCAATCATTGTGATTGAATGTTTCAATCTTACTCTACTTTGTGATGTAATTGAATGTAAGGTGAGACCACACTCGAATCTGAAGACGCCTATTGATTTAAGTATTGACCAGAATTATTAGACTAATGTTTTAAGGTTATCAAAAATGATAAAAAGAGAGGAACTGTTAAGGAATAATTCTTCTAGATATCTAACCTTTTACTCTGACATGTGTTATCTCCTTTAAGGAAAGGCCTTGGTGCCATATGTGTTGTCACCAGTGTGAGACCGGTCAACTTGACTGGCACGAAGGGTAATTGTTGTGGGAACACTGAAGCACTTCTTTATCGGTGTTTGTGGGCTCTAGGATGTGAAATCCTTGAGGCCATGAGCGTCGGACGCAGATGATTCAGTGTTTAGTCTACTCCTTCAGAGATGTTGATTTCTCTCTGTGAACCTGTTAAAAGGTCTAGCATAGAGAGAGGTTCTTCAGAATTGACGTGGCAACTCTACCGTGTGGTCAGAACCTCTGACTCTTTGATTTGTGATGTGAATCCTCCGGCCGAATACTCTGAATAAACCCATCAGTGTTTGACATCAAAGCTCCAACTCTCACCGTGTCTCCTTCCTGAGTCGGTGACTCCATGCATTACTACACAGAAGTTTCCTCCACATTCACAACCAATCCACGGTTTAATGAGTATTTCCTTTGTGCCAAGAGCTGATCTAGTATGTTGCATCAATGACCATTTCAATGAATTTGACAATTCTTTTGTGTAATTAATAGGGTGTGAAACCAGGCAGAGTGAGTGACATGGTGTTCATTTCCACTAAGCCAAAGCAGTTTACAGTTGCTGATGGTGTAAGGTAATATCTATTGTCCTAAGTAATTGTATGTAGCCTGCAACAACTTTGTGATTGTTGTCTGAGTGTAAAATTGTTCTTAAAGTCCTAATTATTATATAAACATGTTCAAAGGAGTACACGTTACAAGGCCGTGCGGGGGGAGCTGCCAGACCCAGATGTCCTCAAAGTCAGCGAGGTATACAAGGACTTCTCAGCAGACATCGCACCACTGATCACCACCATGGCTATAAGTGTGGACGTGCCACTGGTTAACTCCACCTTTGGAAAAGTTCAGGAAGGTAGCCCTATCTCATACCAGCATCCACTACCTCTTAGCCGGGTTATAGTGCGTCACCCAGATGCCCCTCCACCACCACCTCTACCTGTGGATGGCTATAGGCTGGAGCCTACTCCTACTCACAGGGATGGAGTGGTGCGATTTTGTCGTTTTTGCAGAGGAGGATATCCTTATACAGCGTATCTGCAGAGACTGCGAGGTGGCTACAACCATTAGGGAGAAGGGAGATTATTTTTATTTTTACATGGACTGATATGCACTACACTACATTAGTGTACCACACTACATCACACATTACTGATCTAACATGAATATTTTCCTGTATATAGTTCTTTCAATTGCTAAAACCAGAACCAAGTGTGTTCTATAAGTCAAAAAGATCCTTTAGTCAAAGGACCTATGTGAGGAAGAAAGGGGTGTTTATTGGCAGACATTTAATGTCATATGACATTATTCATTAACAAAAGTTGTGGATGCTAACTAACTTATCTTGCATTGATCTGTTCATCTGTTACATAAACTAGCATTACTTAAATATGCAGAGACTAATTGAAATGTTTAAATATGTATTTTTTTTCCCCGATATAACATCAACCTATGTTTTGTAAAAGTGTATTAAATGAATCTGTAAAATGTTATCATATTGTGGATTTATTATATTATGTATTGTCCTATGTTATTTTTGTGTGCATTTGTTTTGAGGTTATAATTCATTAGTACCTAAACATAGTATGGTATGACTGCTTTTTGTAACGACCACAATGAAATACACAATTGGTTTGGGAGCAAGAAATCTTTTAATCATTGCTGCCCAGGCTTGCCCATGCTTTCACCAGTGGTCCGTTCTGGTAGTTGACCAGGAAGCAAGCCACATTGAAAAGCTCCTCAATGCTTCCACACACAGACAGTGGTATGGCTTTGTCAAAGAGTTTGTTCTCTTTGACCCTTCTGATGCACCTCTCCACATGGACCCTCAGACGTGCAATGGATTGAGTCTGCCTGACATCCTCCCTGCTCATTTGGGTTTTTTTTTACAGAAAGGCAGGCCGGTAAACTTTGCACTCAACCAGATTGTCCACAAGGAACCCTTTGTCGACCATTATTGCCATGTCTGGTGTGAGCAGGCTCACGATGCCAGACAGCTTGAAAATCTCCCGGTCACTCATAGATCCTGCATACAGGCCAGACACAAATGTAATGGCACCATGTGGTGCCATGCCGATCATGGCCTTGAATGTAGCATGTGACTTGTACGTTGAAAACACCTCACTCTGCAGCAGGAGAGATGATGGAGTCTGGCAGAATACTTCAGTGCAGTCAAGCACCACTTGTGTGTCAGGGAAAGATGAAAACTCTGGTGGAAGGTGAGCTCTGACAACTTCGCGTGGGATCCACAGACGTTGGCTTCCAAGCAGTTGGTACAGGAAGTGTGTCCAGGTGGAAATAATTCTGCTGACTGTGGTGCGGTGAATGCCAAACCGTTCTGCTAGATCCCTCAGATGTAGGCCCACTGACAGGTGCATGAGGAACAGCAGCAGCTCATCTATGGGTGGAAGTTTCTGTGAAAACAAATAAGTGTTAGGCATACTGTAGATACTGTTATAGGGAGACCGGGTACAGTTGTAACACATTTTCTGTGTGTGTGTGTGTGTGTGTGTGTGTGTGTGTGTGTGTGTGTGTGTGTGTGTGTGTGGCATGTGTGTGAGTGATGTGATGCACTTGTTAAACGGTGGTATAGTGCGCAGCGTGCATAATTATTAATATACATCCATGCTTGTATGCTGCATACCGTTGTTGTTGGTTGAGAGCAATCCGAGCTGCTGGCAGAGGATGCCTTGGCGTTGGTGATCCGCACCATCTTGGTGTTGGCTGCTGGCTCCACCAATTTCCAAAAGGCAAGGAAATGCTTGTATGTGGCAAATCTAAGAATGTAATATTGTTCATGTTAGACATTGTTTTGTTTCTTAAATTAGCTTCCCCAAATGAAAGGTGTTTTTCAAACTAGTGGCCATAACAACATCCTGATAGCCTTATAAACAAACCTGGTGTAGAAACGAATGTCCTCGTCCGACCCTGCCAGGCGTTGTATCCCGAAACGAGATCGCAGTTGTAACACTTCCAGCTGGTGTTGGAGCTCCCTAACCTGCATTTTCAAGGCTTCGTTCTCGTCGGCCACCTGATTTGCCATCACTGCCGTCGCGGGATTTAAACAGTACTCGTGATCAGGCAGCGCAACTGTTTCCACCTCGTACTCAGCTGTCAAGTCCGGGGTGGGGCTCTCTGCCCTCGGCCGACGCTCCCAAACATTACGTCTTGGTGTAGGTAGCTCGTAGTTATTCCATGCAAAGAGAACAGGTGTAGCTCCTTTCTGTACTCTGTGCAGTCCTCCCGCTGTGACCAATAAGTCTCCTGGTCGAAAATGCCTACTGCACACACGGGTATTTTTTGTGGGGCTGAAATTGTCCCTACGGACCTTGATCAGCCACTGAGCCTTTACCTCAGCATCAATGGGAAATGCATGAAAACTTATCTTCCGATTATAACGGGCCGAATTCGTACACAGTGGCACACAGCAATGTAGTGCCGACTTTCTTACCCGCTGGAAGGCCAATCGCTTTTCTTTACCCCGAAATCCGCTCATTCTTGCTCTTGGTGTGTCATAAGAAACTGTCAAACTGTCAAACTGTCAAGCTGTAAAAACTCTGTACTCAAACCGGAAGTACTCGCCCCCACACCCACCCGCCGGAAGTTGATAGACGCCATCTTGTGCACAGAGCCTATTAAGCATTTTAAAACGTATGTGGTAAGTTGCCAAAGTGCTTTGTTTTGAACGTTCATCAGTATTATAATCAAAAAGAGAAATATGAACGTTAGTTTTTACTGAAATGATCAAATAAAGCTGTGTGGGGTTTGTTCAACTTTTAAAATATGTTTGAATGGTGATATACACAGTGATAGATGTTAAGGACTAACGTTTATAATAAATACATTTGTATTGATTTTAAGATATTTTCATACAATCATACGTAGGCTATTGGGATCATTTGTATTAATGTGGACCGGAGGGAGAGGGTGACGAGCATAAGTTTCACTTTCCTTTTTTATTTCAATTCCAACTTTGGTCATGAAGAATATGTTTCTCTGATGTCCCCGTTCATAAAGCATAAAGCAACAGCATCAGAGCACGGTGCAGAGTCTCTAGATGAGTTTACAGTAGTCCCTCGTTCTTATTAAACATCCATGTTGTAGTCCGCTGTATAGAAAACTGTAGTTTCCATAGTTTACCCACAGCAGCAGGCGCACATTTATGACCTCCGCTGGCGCATCATAAACACGTCGGATAGTGAAAGTGCAGTCGGATTCTCTAAAGTACCGCAGTCTCTTCTCCTAAATCCTTTTGAATTCTCCTATCCACTATCCCTTAACCCCATGACGTTTCACTCCGAGGTCAAGGAATAGACGATAGGGTTAGAATTTAGGAGCTGTTTTTTTGGAGTATTCGACCGCAACCCAGGAGCGACTGCAGCTCTGTGGTGTTGATGTGGGACATGGCTGACCTCTGCTGGACGCTTAGCTAACTGCAACTGGAAGAGAGAGGAGACGGTAAGAAAAAGATTCATCTCAAAGGTAATACCATGGTTTTATTTATTATTTTAAGTAATAAAAATCACTTCAATTGATTTCAGGTGGTGGGCAATTAGCCTGATGTTGGATCTGGAAGTTGCACCTGAGCATATTCCTAAACTCTAAGGGACTGATGACTTAACCAAACCAGGTATTTAACTAATCCATTTTTAATAATCGTCCAGAATTTGGTCATTTTCGCTTTGATGATGAGGGTTATAATGTGTACATACAGCTCAAAAAAAGTGAATTTGTGGAACATTCAACTGTTTTCCTTGTCACATTAAAGTTTTTAATGAAATCAAAGCCATTGTGAATCAATTGAAGAAAACAAACATGTCTCCATGTAAATGAAGGTGTCTTTATATACTGTAGGTGTTTGAGGCCCTGACACATTTATGCACCTATACATAAACAAATCCCTAAAAGCCGCCTGCATTATACATAAAATGCTCTTTAAACAAAACTCTTAATGGCTATTCCTGCCATTCTAACACAAAAGCATCATGTAGGCCCATATGCTACAGTAGCTAAAGGGATTTATTGATATTGATAAACTACGTAGGCCTACTTAAATCCATTTTGTTAATGTAATCCAATATTAGTCTTTTTTAATAGAGTTTAGAGCCTGGATATATGTAAACAAAAAGATCCCATCCTAACCTAAATGATATTATCAATCAAGACATCAGTTTGCTTATTCCCGGTCAGAGTGTCTCTGCCTCGTCGTTACAGGCATCTCGATTCTGCCTCAGTTTATCCATAACCACTGCTCGAGCTCTGCGTTTGGAGAAGGTAGAGCCCCACTTGTTTCCTATAGAGTCTTTTCAGTGTATATCTTTGTTATACAGTGTAACTCAATGAGAGATGATTACTCCTTTTATGTCCTTCTGTCTGCATGTGCTTTAAAAAAAAAGAAGAGGCTTTTGCATGCAGACATAAGACTTGTAAAACCCCATTTGTGCTGTTCATGTCAAAATGAAAAGCCCAAACAATTACATAAGAGAATGTTTTGAACAATGTTTTTATTAACATTTTATACAATAAAACCCATGTACACAGCGTACATTTCCAAACATACAGAAGTGAGCTTCGAAAGCTCAACATTCACTGAGGTACAGGTGCTAGAAAAACAAACAAACAGATGCACAGCAAACATTAAAAGAGTAATACAAAAAAAGCTAAATAATTATAATATAATATAACCCAAGCTTTGAGTCTAGAACCATTCACGGTACGTTTGTTAATGTGTCCTATACGTTTAACCTGTAGATAGGAATGACCTTGGACACAAGCTGGTGTGCTGTAGACTTAGGAAGCTGAACAGTATTGAGAGAAGTGGAGTAACACATTGTTGCTTTTAATCTTTTCATTGAGTTGAATATAGAATAACATCAGTCTTATTGTTTTAGGTATTCTATTAAACTGGCAACCAATGACAGTGCATGTATCATTGACACATTGAATGACCGTATTTTGCTATGTTGCTGTGTGCATGAAAAAAAAAGCATAAAGACTAAACCTGTCCGTAATTAAGCAATTGTTATTTTCCCTCAATTTGTTTCAGCTGCTGGACCCTCAGCTGGAGAGACAGCTCAATACACCATGGTAGACGGTGGGTGCACACTTGATTTTGGTTTGTGATCCCAGTGGATCAGACATTTCTCTGAATCATTCAGATGTCCATTGGCAAACTTCAGAGGGGCCTTTCATGTGCCTTCTTGAGTAGGGGACCTTGCAGGCGCTGCAGGATTTTCTGCATTATGGTGTAGTGTGTTACCAATAGTTTTCTTGGTGACTGTGGTCCCAGCTGCCTTGAGATCATTAACAAGTTCTTCCCCTTTAGTTCTTGGCTGATACCTCACCTTTCTCATGATCATCAATACCCCACGGGCCAGATCTTGTGTGGAGTCCCAGACCGAGGGTGATTGATGGTCATTTTGTGTTTCTTCCATTTCCGTATAATCGCACCAACAGTGGTCTCCTTCTCACCAAGCTGCTTTCTGATGGTCTTGTAGCCAATCCCAGCCTTGAGCAGGTCTACAAACTTGTCCCTGAGGTCCTTAGACAGCTCTTTAGTCTTGCCCATGGTGGAGAGGTTGGAATCTGATTGATTGATTCTGTGGACAGGTGTCTTTTATACAGTTAGCAAGTTGATATTAGGAGTACTTTTTTAAAGGAAGAGGACTTATGTAACCGGTCTGTGGGAGACAGAATCCTTGTTTGTTGCAAGGGGATCAAATACTTATTTCCTACAGTTAAATGCAAATCAATTTTGATCTTTTGTATAATGTCAATTTCTGGATTTTCTTTTTGATATTCTTACTCACACTGTTAAAATAAACCTACCAATAAAATTATAGACTGTTAATCTTTTTTTAAGCGGGCACACTTACAAAATCTGCAAGGGATCAAATACTTATTTCCTCCACTGTATTTAAAATAAAGAAGTCACTGTTATAGAAAATAAAATATTTGTTTGGAAATGTATCAAGTTGGCTTCATGGTATAATCAACACTTTACTCATTATTCCCTCCTTCCTCAGCTGAGCACTTTGTGGATAAACATAGAACCGAGCTGATCAACAGAGTGAACTGCGTTGGAAACATTTTGGATCAGCTCCTTAGGAAAGTCATCACAAAATCGATTTATGATAACATTTGGAAAATCCCAACCACTCAGGAGCACATGAGGGAACTCTTCAGTGGTCCCCTGATTGAGGCAGGGCTTCCTGGCAAAGAAGTTTTCTACAGAATCCTTGAGAAAGAGGAGAAATATCTCATTGAGGACCTAAAGGGAAAGAAGTGAATGTTGTGGAGAAATAATTTTTTAGACCAAACGTACATTGTGCCTCAAGAAAAAAAGCGTCTTAAACGATTCCAATGGGGAAATGGTAATGTAAATGTCTCTGTAGGGGGTTCTATCAAATATAGCTTTTGCACCTTCATGTTTAATCATAGCTCTTGCCCTTTTTTTACACTTGGACCAGTCATATTTTATAAAATGTACACGTTTTCCTGTAAGGTTAAAACCAGATTCAGCAAACCATGTAAGTCATTCATGTAATGTAATGATGTAAGAAATGATTTAGCGTTCTCACCTGACATGTAATGTTTTAATCCAGCAAATCCCAGATGGATTGAATCTGCTTTGAACCTATTTTGTATACATTAAAAGGATGCTTGATCATGAATGATTATTCTTAGGTTTTGCATGCAGATTTTAATTTTGATTATTGTCTTATGTGATAAACGATTCTATTGTTGTTTTTTCCTTCATGAAAATACGTTTACTTTTGGAGGCCAATGTTTTTTATTTCGAAATACATTTTCAATAAACTCTTATAAATATTACACATGTCGAGTGAATGGAGTGTTTTAAAAGTTGAAGCAGACATAATGATGTAATGAAGTTAACAGATTTAGGAACGTCGCTCTCCTAGATTTTTTTAAATGTTTACATATTATTCTTATCATTTATTAAACTGATTGTTCAGAGGGATACTGGAAGAAGGTAGTATTCTTTTGACGTTATCCACAAACGTTGCTTTATTAACCAACCTCAATTTGTATGAACTAATTGTTTAGCCTTACCTACTTGTATGTTTGGATGAAGGGAGGCAGGACTTTACTTGGTGATGAAAGTACAGTTTATACATTTAAAGGGGAACTGCAGCAATGTTTAGATATCCAGTCTGTTTAGGAGTCTTGTAAAGTAGCTGCCGCATGAGTAAAACAAGTTATACAAAGCCTTTTGTGGCTCTAGAGGGAGCTGTCTGATAGATAATGCCTGTTGGAGTTCAATACTACACATTTGGAAATGTTATGTGTTTGTATTATGTTAGATTTTCTCATTTCAGTTGTAAATTCACATGTGGGCTCTGAACCCATCCCTCCAGCCTCACCACTGCACACAGATGTTATATAAGCAAAAGTGCAGCTATGTAATGTCTGTGTGACGACTGAGTCTGGCAGAGTCAGTGACATTCTTTCAAATACTGGTAAGAAATTATCTGTTTAACAGCTTTTTTTTATTTTTTATTAATGCTGCCATTTTATTTCCAATATGTCCTATCTGCTCTATTATCTTTGTCATTTTTTTTATTAATATTGTGTTTGGGCTTTTTATTAAGCTTTGGGGCGCGGGAAGGGGGGTGCTGCACATTTTATTTTTTTATATATAATTTTTATTTCATTTCATTGTGCCTGAGATACATTTTATATTATATATTATTATTCAAATGTTAATTTTAAACCATATAATAAATTGTTTAGCTTTAGAAGATTTGTTTTCAAATATTGAAGTTAAATGCAATAAAGCAAAATTAAGAGATCTATGGATACATCTCTCAACACCCATATGAAACAGAACTGTAAACAGATTTTCTTTTTCTCTATGGATATTTTACAAATCACTAGCCTTTTAAACTGTATTCTTGTTTTACTGTCATATAGTATTTCATAACTGTTTTTCATTTATTCTCTTGTTTTTTTATAACTATAATGATCATATGAAGGTGCGCCTTGGAAATAAATTCTTACATAATAATTGCATTCACTGAACACGGGAAATTACAATCCTGCCGTCCTCTCTAGTGTCATGATGAGGTTCAGGAATATGGGATTAGTTTTGTGTCATAAAGATAAAGCAACACTTTCTCAGAATCAAGCAAAACTAAGAGTTTAAAAGAAGAAACAAATCGAGTCAAGCACAATACATTTAATTTAAAAAATAAAACTATAAGTTGCAAACAAATCATTTGTGTAATCATGTAAACCAGGGGTACTCAAATACAAATCTTAAAGGTCCACAAAGAAAATGTTCAATACGACAAAGGTCCGTTTAATACGGTCAGTCAAACTTGTAAACAATTGCAACACGATTCTTAACACGAGGTTGCAAAAACAAAAAAGTGAAGTGGCACCTTTGGTCTGTTGCCAAGACTTTGAACTTTGGCACAAAAGGAGTGATGGCCAGGCGGACACACTGATGCAAGTGTTCATTGGTGAGTCGGCTGCGGTACTTGTTCTTCACCATGTTCATTCTTGAGAATGCAGACTCACACCTGTAGGTTGAGCCAAACATTGTGAGAATGTGAAGTGCCATCTTATGCAGGAGAGGGAAATTAGCTGCAGTGACCATCTTTGTCCAGAAGGTGGGAGTGTCACAGTCAGCCTCTTTCAGTGCAAGGTTTTCCTGGAGGTCAATCAACTCACTTTGCAGAGAAGCAGCACTGGCCCATGGGAAGATTTGTTGTGCTTCTGCAAAGAACTCTCTGACATTTCTGACCAGAAATGGGTTTTCAATGTACAGTAGGACTTGTTTTCCTAATCTGAAGTCATCAAAGCGAGTCTTGAAGTTTTCGATCAGCCTCTCCAGGAATTCAACATGATTCTGAGGACGATTTTCTCCTTTGGTCTGTTCCAAAAGTTTGGGGAAGTGGAGCAGTCCCTCCTGTAGGAAAAAAAAAAAAAATAAGACAAATATATAAGGAGCACTGCTTAAAAGGGTATGATAAAGTATCAAAAAGGTGTTCATTGGAATCCAGGGAATGTGTGTGGTAGAAAATATTAAAAAGGCTTACCTGTAGGTCACTTTTGAAAAGCTCCAGTTTCCTCTGGAAAGCACGCACTGCTGACATCAGCTCACACACTGTGTTGTTCTTGCCCTGCAGCTTGAGATTTAGGTCATTGAGATGAGATGTTATATCAGCCAAAAATGCAACAGCTTCCATCTTCTCTTCATTTTGCATGAATTCCATGAACTGTTTTGCTTTTGCACTCTTTTGCTCTGACAGAAACACTTGCAGCTCTTTCCTAATGGCCCCAAAACGCTCCAGGACCTTGCCTTTGCTCAGCCATCTGATGTTGTTGTGCAGGAGCAAATCATCAAAAGTTGCATTGACCTCTGTCAGGAATGTGTGCAGCAAGCGATGCTGCAGTGAAGATGATGCTCTCAAAAAGTTTATGAGTCTCATCACTGTTGCCATGATTTCAGAGTACACTTCTCCAAGATGTGCACAAAGGACAGACTGGTGGATTATGCAGTGGTATGAGATCAGGTCAGGGTGGTGATCTTTCAGGCGCTGAACCAGTCCTCTCTCTCTCCCCATCATGGCTGGAGCTCCATCAGTAGCAATTGACACCACTTTCTTTAGATCTATCCCTCTTTCATTCAGCATTCCCATTATGGCTTTATAAATATCTTCCCCCCTTGTGTGTCCACTGAGGTCTGTAAGGCCCAACACATCTTCAACAAACTCCCCCTTTGCCTCATCATAAAATCGCACAAACACCAGCAACTGAGCATTGTCAGTGGTGTCAGTGGACTCATCCACAGCTAAGGAAATGCACTGTGCATTTTTGATTCCATCACAAAGCTGATTAATCAAATCACCAGCCAGTATTTCCGTTCTTCTGGTTGCTGTGGAATCTGAGAGGGGGATTTGCTTGATTTTAGCTGTTATTTCCTCTTTTTGTTTGCCTTCAAACATGGTCTCCATCACTTCAGTCATGCATTCTTTAATTATTTCTGCATCAGAGAATGGCTTCTTGTGTTTAGCCAACACCCATGCCACTCTGAGTGAGGACTCAGTTGCCTTTTCTCGTTGTGACATAGATGTAACAAGGATCCTGCTTGCAGCTTCATATGAGGATTTCATCCCATTTATTTTTGTGGTTCTTACCGCTGAATTTTGAGGAAAGGTCGCTTCAAAATAACTGTGTTTCGTGTCATAGTGCCGTTTCAAATTGCCACTCTTCACAAGAGCTACCGTTTCTTGGCATATTAGGCACATTGGTTTGGTGCTCGCTGGAGGGAGGATGAACGCATATTTTTCAGTCCATTCAGCTTTGAATTGCCGGTTTTCACTGTCAACTTTTCTTTTATTGGTCATCTTCGAACATGCCATTTTTCTTCTACTAGCTACACTAGGCTACAGCTGAAACTACTACATGCAACTAGATGCGCTGTCAACTCTCGCTCTGACTTTATTTATTTTTTAAAACTCCCGCGCTGACTCAGACAGGTAGAAAGAGACGACACACGTATTTTCATTCCGCGAAGACCCGCCCTCCTGTGCCTCTGATTCGCAGACTGTTGGTGGGGGAAAAAAACGCTGACGGGAGGCTGAATGTGATTGGACCAAAGCGTTGATCGCTGTGTGTGTGTGTGTGTGTGTGTGTGTGTGTGTGTGTGTGTGTGTGTGTGTGTGTGTGTGTGTGTGTGTGTGTGTGTGTGTGTGTGTGTGTGTGTGTGTGTGTGTGTGTGTGTGTGTGTGTGTGTGTGTGTGTGTGTGTGTGTGTGTGTGTGTGTGTGTGTGTGTCGCACAGAGACACATCGCTCCAGACTGTGGATCAATCGGACATGCAGAGCGCTGTTTGCAGTTGACATAGCGGAGAATTTTGACTCGTTGCGTTGTGGCGATGTCTCGCAGATAATACAGATAATACATATGAAAAGTATAATTTACTCAGAGTCCGGAGACAGTGGTGGTCCGGTCCGGATCCGGACCAGAGTCCGGACTTTGAGGATGCCTGATGTAAACTATAAGTCTTTGTTCTTTGTTTTAACATATCTTTTTGTTTGCAGTTCTTGTTTCTTCTTCCTCAATGATCAGACTTTTGCTCTCGCTGCAGCTCTCAGCTGCACTGTACAATCGCTGGAGGACTGGGCTGTCACTCAAAAACTGAGGAGCCAATGGGGACGCACCCCTGAAAGTCCCGCCCACCTTGGATGTTTGTGTCAGAATCGAAAACAAAAAATGAGGGAGCGCAAACGAGAGAGCTGCAGCGAGAGCAAAAGTCTGATCATTGAGAAAGAAGCAACAAGAACTGCAAACAAAAAGATATGTTAAAACAAAGAAAAAATACTTATAGTTTAAATGATTACACAAATGATTTGTTTGCAACTTATAGTATTTATTTTTAAATTAAATTGATTTTGCTTGACTCAGTTATTTTTTCTCTTAAACTCTTAGTTTTGCTTGATTCTGAGAAAGTGTTGCTTTATCTTTATGACACACAACTAATCCCATACTGGGGAAAGCACGGTTAATGTATTATATTCAGGGGTGCACATCACTTTTTTAGTGAGTTACTCAGATGAGTACTAGGAGACAGCGTTTGGTACTCACCCCACACGAAGCGTGGTCCTCCTCAGTGTCTCCTTCACTGTCCTCTATTTACACTTCTTGCATGCTAGATGATGAAGATGATGAAGATGATGAAGATGCCCCTCCCTGTCTCTTTTTAAGCCTCCGATTTGCTTTCTCCAAAATGTGTGGCCAAAACTGTGAAGTCCTTGCATTTCCTGAGGCCAAGTTGAAGGATCAAATACTAAGAAATTATCACATGACTTGAAGTCATATATCTGATTTCAGATGTGGGAAGTTACTAAGTACACTTATTCAAGTACTGTACTTAAGTACAATTTGAGATATTTGTACTTTACTTGACTTTGATGCTACTTTGTACTTCTACTACTCCACTACAGTTCAGAGGTAAATGGTGTACTTTTACTCCATTACATGTATTGAATACCTTTAGTTACTTTACAGATCTGGATTAATGATGTGAAATATAATCAAGTTTTAAATCAGACTTCAGTTCCACCTGGAGTAAATTCACAAGCTACCCTGCAGTATACAAAGTCATTAAAACTAGCTGCACCTTTACCAGCTTTCAGGGCCGTCCCTCCCTACAGGCCGATCATGCAGACTGCGTGGGGCCTCACCTTGCGGAGGGGGCCTCATCTTGCGGAGGGTGCCTCAACTGAGCCGAAAATGCGGCGCACCTATGCGCTTATGCGGCGCAATTAGTGTAGCGCAGCACGATTTCGCCGCTGCGAGGCTCCACTCGTTAGTCGGACGACGAAGCGTGCCCTGTCGCCCAAACTCAATTTGGTGTGTCCCGCACCGTCGGCCGTGAGACGCCTTATTTGGCCTTTCATGGCCGACGCACGGCCGATTCAACATGTTGAATCGGCCGTGAAAAATAATCTGTATAATCTGTAATCATTCCAGCTGAGAAATTGCTCTTTTGCCCCATTAACATCTCCTTTGATTTTACCAGGTGGAAACGATGGCGTCTGTCATAGAGCTGCTTCTGGAAACACTGAAAGATTTGAGTCACCAGGATTTAGAGAGTTTTAAGAGGGTCCTGAGTCAAATTCTCTCTGACAAAGGCTACCCACACATCTCACCAAGGTGGCACATGATGAGAGACAGGCAGGACATGGTGTTTTATTTGGTGCAAGATCACAGCGAGCACAGACTGCTGGAGATGACCACTGAGGCTTTTGAGAAGATGAACAGGACTGATCTGGTGCAGAGGCTGTCACAAAGCAGCTCAGGACCCAAAAGTAAGACTAATAAAACACAAACATCTTTAAATCATCAAACCTGTTTATCCTAAATTAATAAGCTCTGTATTCTTCTTTTTAAGTTATAAATATAGATGAAACGTATATTTATAATGTATTTATATCCTAGTGTACAAAATATGTTTCATGACTTATCAGAGCAATGATTAATATTTTGTGAGAGGGTAAAATGAATTGAGTTGGTTTATCTCCACCTCTTTTCTCTTCAGAGAAACACTCAGAGGCACAGCGACCTGCAGTGATCCAGAAAGTAAGTAATGTCACATCTGTCTGACTTTCTACAACACACCTTTCCTTCAACAGATAATGATATGACCCAAACACATGATTGACTTATCTATGATGATCTGTCTGTCTGTCTGTCTGTCTGTCTGTCTGTCTGTCTGTCTGTCTGTCTGTCTGTCTGTCTGTCTGTCTGTCTGTCTGTCTGTCTGTCTGTCAAACCCAACAACAACTAACCAGTTTATAGCAAATAGACACATTTGTAATTGTCCAAGAGGAATATACACATGTCTAATGAATGTATTGATTATTTCAGGTAGCAACAATGGCAGCTGTTAAACATCTGCTTTTGGAAACTCTGAATGATTTGAAAAACGAGGATCTAGAGAAATTCAAGCAGACCCTGGATTTAATTGTCTCCAAGAAGAAGCCGAGATATTTTTCATGGATTTGGAGTCCCTCAGCAGGCAGAGATCAAACAGTGGAACAGATGATGGAGATCTTCGGCCAACAGTGTGTAGAGATAACCATGGAGGGTTTGAAGAACATTAACAGGACTGATCTGAGGCAGAGGTTTACAAACTTAGAACTCAAAGGTAATCATAAAGAAAACCAAATAACTTCACATCACATACATTTTATATTTCAGTATAAAAAATAATCTGTAGTCATTAACAATGTGAAGTATAAAAAAAACATGGAACAGGAATTTATGCAAACATTAGACAAATATTAAAATATTAAAATACCAACAGACCACAGTCTCAACAAGAAACAGAATGTTTTACGTTGAAGTAGTTTAGTTTAGTTGCTGGGATCTTGTGTGTTAGACATTCACTTTATTTTCTCTCTTCAGAGATGTACTCTGTGGATGAACATCGACCTGCACAGTCCGAGGGAGTGAGTCTGACTTTACACATCACAGCTTTCATTCAATAGATGCAAGTTGTTAACCATATCCATCTTGAACATAAACATTATGATGCAAACCAAACCGTTTTTAAGGTTGATCTCTTCTGTCAAAATGATTTTTCTTCCACTGATGTTCTGATCAGATTAGCAGACTGAAGTCTGAACACTCATATACAAATGTGCATTAGTCAAGAAAAAAGATAAACATATTTAATATAACAGATGTTAGTGTGTCTTTAACTTGAGAGATCTTGTAAACATTTTATAAAATCCTCTTGTCTGAAACACTGACTGACGAAATGAAAACAAAGTAATATTTATTTCCATAGAGAAATCACACCTTTTCTTAAACATCTGTTGAATTCAGGCACCAATTGCAGCAGAGAAAGAGATCCTTTTGAAAACTCTGAAGGATTTGAGCGACCATGAGCGCTACCGATTTAAGTGTTTGCTGCAGTTCACATACTTCCAGAAGAGCATATCCTACTCCTTTCATGGATATTCCTATCGGACAGCAAGTGCACTCCAGCTAGTGGATCAGATGGTGGAGACCTGTGGTCCGCAGTCTGTGGAGGTGACCAGGGAGGTTTTAATGGACCTGGACAGAACTGATCTAGTGGAGAGATTATCAGAGACTATCTTAAGACTCAAAGGTAAGAGAAAGAAAACAAAAACTGCTACATCACACAGAAGAGTTCATATGAGTTTTGTAATTGTTGCAATGCTTTTGTATTTGAGTTTATTTTATTTTAAGGAATAGTTCACCTACAAAATGACCAGTTGTTCTGTATTACAATTACTCGCCCTGAGTTCTCTTTAATTCTTGCATGCCTCCACTGTGGGTTACAAATAAAGAAATGGAGATCGTCTTCATTAATGGAAGTAAATGGGGGCGTGTTTAATAACAGTTCAGCTTTATCAAAACAACCTAACCTCTAAAACACTTCTGCATCAACAGTCTCATACTTGCACGTGGAGTACCCGTCTGTGCATTGAAATGTATAAAACAGGAAGGTTTAGTGAAAATGCATGTTTTAAGGAAGTAGTGAGCTCGTGCCAGGATAAATGAGACTTGGATTCTACTGCACGAGTTGTTTGGGAGTTTGTAAATAGATGTTTTATATAGTTTTAATTTTACAGATAATAAAGTTGTTCTGTTGTTAAACACAGCTCCTGATTAATAAACATTTGTATCTGTTTTGTTTCTTGAAGAATTAAAGGTAACAAGGCAGGAGTCATTTCTATTTAAAGGTCATTTTGTGGGTGTAGTGTTCCTTTAATGGGTGTTAATAATATAATGGCAAACCTCTCACTCTTTGTGATTGATTTTAATGATGCCAGCATGAACCATATTTGAGTGTTATTTTGCAGTTTAATTATTCATATTACGTTATTTTTTTCAAAAGTAACTCAATCTGACTAAAGTTGTCCATAGTCTGATTTTGAATCAGTCGTGTGTCATTTTTTCTTTTCAGAGGAACCGCTTCCTTCACTGATCCAGAGTGTGAGTAATGTCCCATCACTCTGACTCCACCCAGTGCAGCTTTGACTCAGTAGATTTAGAAGACTGAAAATAATCTCCTTCCTGAACATTATTCATGATACAAACATATTTTGGTCTCGGATAGTTTTCTTACAGAAATAATCTGATCACGCCAAGTTAGGTACACATACTGTATGTTCTAAGGCATCAATGTTATTTATGAGTAGTGTTAATAATTTGTGTTACGTCTGTCTGGAGGGGAAATTATAGCACATTCTTCATGAGTTGTTTTTCTAAAATTCAGAAAGAGAAATTCACAATACTGATGCAAAAATATAGATAGTGATTTTTACTCTTTTATACCAAAATAAAAACATGCAACTGGTTAAACTGCATCTCAGTTGTTAAATCAAGACGCCTGACGTAATTCTTCTACCACAGCCTTTGAAAGAGTTACCTAGGAGGTCAAATAAAGTCATGAATCAAACACGCCATTTATACAAAAAGAAAATGTTTTTGTGATGAATTGGATGAACAATATAAAGTGTACTGATACGTTGTGAGTGACATGGCTGATGTTCTCTTACCACATCCACTCTTGCAAAACACTGACACTGACGAGTTGTAAACCAAAATAATCTGTAATCATTCCAGCTGAGAAATTGCTCTTTTGTCCCATTAACATCTCCTTTGATTTTACCAGGTGGAAACGATGGCGTCTGTCATAGAGCTGCTTCTGGAAACACTGAAAGATTTGAGTGACCAGGATTTACAGAGTTTTAAGAGGGTCCTGAGACAAATTCTCTCTGACAAAGGCCACCCAGACATCTCACCAAGGTGGCACATGATGAGAGACAGGCAGGACATGGTGTTTTATTTGGTGCAAGATCACAGCCAGCACAGACTGATGGAGATGACCACTGAGGCTTTTGAGAAGATGAACAGGACTGATCTGGTGCAGAGGCTGTCACAAAGCAGCTCAGGACCCAAAAGTAAGACTAATAAAACACAAACATCTTTAAATCATCAAACCTGTTTATCCCAAGTTAATAAGCTCTGTATTCTTCTTTTTAAGTTTTAAATATAGAGGAAACATAGATTTACAATGTATTTACAGTACCAGTAAAAAGTTTGGACACACCTTCAAATTCGAAGTTTTTTCATTTATTTTAATTTGTTCTACATTGTAGATTTATACTGAAGACATCAAAACTATAAAGGAACACATATAGAATTATCAAGTAAACAACAAAGTGTTAAAAAATCCAGAATATGATTTCTATTTTGCTGGCTACTGCAGAATGCTGTGGTAGCCATGATGGTTAAATGTGCGTTGAATTCTGAATAAATCACCAGCAGTGTCACCAGCAAAGCACCCCCACACCATCACACTTCCTCCTCCATGCTTCACGGTGGGAACCACACATGCAGAAACCATCCCGCTCACCTTCTCTGCGTCTCACAAAGACATGGCGTTTGGAACCAATGTCCAATCCTTGTGTTTCTTGGCCCAAACTATTCTCTTCTTCTTGTTGTTCATCCTCAGTAGTGGATCTTTGCAGCAATTGGACCTTGAAGGTCTGATTCACGCAGTCTCCTCTGAACAGTGGATGTTGAGATTGTCTTCTACTTGAGCTCTATGATCATTGATGTGGGCTCTAATCTGAGGTGCTTTAATTTGTGGTTTCTGAGGCTGGTAACTGTTATGTATTTATCCTCTGCAGCAGGGGTGTCTTTTGCTCTTCCTTTCCCGGGGGGGTCCTCATGAGAGCCAGTTTCATCAAAGCGTTCGATGGGTTTTGCGACTGCACTTGAGGATAAATTCAAAGTTCTTGAAAATGTCCGGATCGACTGGCCTTCATTTATTAAAGTAATGATGGACGGTCGTTTCTCTTTACTGAGTTGAGTTGTTCTTGCCATAATATGGATTACAACAGTAGTCAAATAGGGCTTTCCACTGAGCATCACCCTACCTCTGCACAACACAACTGATGGTCTCAAACACATTCAGAAGGCAAGTAATTCCACAAATTGACTCTTGACAAGGCACACGTGTTAATTGAAAACCATTCCAGGTGACGGCCTCATGAAGCTGACTGAGAGAAGCCAAGAGTGTGCAAAGCTGTCATCAAGGCAATACGGGGCTACTTTGAAGAATATAAAATAAAAATCATATTTTGGATTTTTTTACACTTTTTTTGTTAACTAGATAATTCCATATGTGTTCTTTCATAGTTTTGATGTCTTCAGTATTAATCTACAAAGTATTAAACATTAAAATAAATAAAAAACTTCTAATTTGAAGGTTTGTCCAAACTTTTGACTGGTAGTGTATATCCTAGTGTACACAATATGTTTAATGACTAATCATAACAATGATTAATATTTTGGGAGAGGGTAACATTTATTTGAGTTGGTTTATTTCCACCTCTTTTCTCTTCAGACAAACACTCAGAGGCACAGCGACCTGCAGTGATCCAGAAAGTAAGTAATGTCACATCTGTCTGACTTTCTACAACACACCTTTCCTTCAACAGATAATGATATGATCCAAACACAAGATTGACTTATCTATGATGATCTGTCTGTCTGTCTGTCTGTCAAACCCAACAACAACTAACCAGTTTATAATAATGCAGCATAATGCTGCGTTTTTCCCTTTAACTCTTATGCTGCGTTCACACCGGACACCGACGCCGTCGGAGCGAATTCGCGTCTGTCCGCGTCTCTGCATTGACTTTACATGTAATCGCGCCGCCCCCAAACATCGCATCGCGTCCGGTGTGAATGCAGCATAAGAGTTAAAGGGAAAACATTAAAAGGGATGAGATGCAAATAGACACATTTGTAATTGTCCAAGAGGAATATACACATGTCTAATGAATGTATTGATTATTTCAGGTAGCAACAATGGCAGTTGTTAAACATCTGCTTTTGGATACTCTGAATGATTTGAGAAACGAGGATCTTCAGAAATTCAAGCAGACCCTGGATTTAATTGTCTCCAAGAAGAAGCAGAGATATTTTCCATGGATTTTGAGTCCCTTAACAGGCAGAGCTCAAACAGTGGAACAGATGATGGAGATCTTCGGCCAACAGTGTGTAGAGATAACCATGGAGGTTTTGAAGGACATTAACAGGACTGATCTCAGGCAGAGGTTTACAAACTTAGAACTCAAAGGTAAGACAAAGAAGAAAGAAATAACCTTGCATCCCATAAACAATATTTTCATAAACGTTTCATCCAAGACATTTTATATTTCATTATAAAAAAGAATTTGGTGTCATCAATGTGAAATATAAAAAATAATTGGGACAGGATTAAATGCAAACAATTAAATGATCAACAGGCACATACTCTCAACAAAAAATCTTGTGTTTAAATGCTTAAGACTGTGACTGTTTAAAAGAAAATGAATGTATATCAATCAAAGTAATTGAGCCTTATTAAAGTTTATTATATTCTCTTATGTTGAATACGTTTTCAATCTTCTAAGTAATTTTAAATATATTTTCTCTCTTCAGAGATGTACTCTGTGGATGAACATCGACCTGCACAGTCCGAGGGAGTGAGTCTGACTTTACACATCACAGCTTTCATTCAATAGATGCAAGTTGTTAACCATATCCATCTTGAACATAAACATTATGATGCAAACCAAACAATTTTTAAGGTTGATCTCTTCTGTGAAAATGATTTTTCTTCCACTGATGTTCTGATCAGATTAGCAGACTGAAGTCTGAACACTCATATACAAATGTGCATTCGTCAAGAAAAAAGAGAAACATATTTAATAGAACTGATGTTAGTGTGTCTTTGACTTGAGAGATCTTGTCAAAATTGTAGGAAATCCTCTTTCATCAAATGAAAACAAAGTAATATTTATTTCCATAGAGAAATCACACCTTTTCTTAACCATCTGTTTATTTGTTCAGGCACCAATTGCAGCAGAGAAAGAGATCCTTTTTAAAGCTCTGAAGGATTTGAGTGATCATGAGCTCCACAGATTTCAGTGTTTGCTGCAGTTCACGTACTTCCAGAAGAGCATATCATGCATCTTTCATGGATATCCCTATCGGACAGCAAGTGCACTCTGTCTAGTAGTGGATCAGATGGTGGAGACCTGTGGTCCGCAGTCTGTGGAGGTGACCAGGGAGGTTTTAATGGACCTGGACAGAACTGATCTAGTGGAGAGATTATCAGAGACTATCTTAAGACTCAAAGGTAAGAGAAAGAAAACAAAAACTGCTACATCACACAGAAGAGTTCATAGTCATGAGTTTTGTAATTGTTGCAATGCTTATGTATTTGAGTTTTTTAGATTTGAAGGAATAGTTCACTCTCAAAATAACCAGTTGTTCTGTATTACAATGACTCATCCTGAGTTCTCTTTAATTCTTGAAGACATCTGTTTTCTTGCATGCCTCCACTGTGAGTAATTCATCAAAACATTGAAAACGTCTTTATGAATTGAAGTAAATGGGGGCCCAGGTTTAATAACATTTCAACTTTATCAAAACAACCTAACCTCTAAAACACTTCTGCATCAACAGTCTCATACTTGCACGTGGAGTACCCGTCTGTGCATTGAAATGTATAAAACAGGAAGGTTTAGTGAAAATGCATGTTTTAAGGAAGTAGTGAGCTCGTGCCAGGATAAATGAGACTTGGATTATACTGCACGAGTTGTGTGAGAGTTTGTAAATAGATATGAAGCTATTGTAGACTATACATCTTCATTTATTTTATTTCTGCAGATTTATATTTCTGCAGCTAAAAAACCAGCGTTGCCAAATAATGCTTCCACATAATAACTTTGTTCCTATGGACACTTCAAATCAAACTGTGCATTAAATGGTGTTATCAGCACATACTTTATTTGACAGAGTGGACGTTACATTAATTTTTTCACATTTCAAAACCTCATTTTAGAATAACAGTTTAGTAAAGCTGTCTGAAATGCTTAAAAACACAGCGAAAAGAACACGAGAATTTGCCCTGAGAAATAATGAAAGATTAATCGAATAAACCTTGCAAACTTAGACCAATCATATCAAGGAAATGCTACTAAAATAAAAATATGAATGAATCTTAAAGGTAGGGTAGGTAAGAATTGAGAAACCAGCTTGAGTGCGCTAGAATTTGAAAGTACACAACCGAAAAAAATCAGCCCCTTCCTTCAGACTTCCTTACAGAGCCCCTCCTCCAACACACACGAACGCGCACATGACCAATGAGGGCACGAGATAAGTTTGTGCACAAGATGGAAGGCTGACAGGCAGGTATTTTAGCCGGGCCGACTAAAATAATTGGTTGTGCTTTTTACAGCGCTACGGCTTCCACAGATGACATTTTTTTATGTATTTATTGTCAAAGCATTTAATGTATTCATTGCTATCGGGATGTTAAGAGCATTCCATGGAATATAACAAAGTGTTTCTGAAGTGAATTACCTACCCTACCTTTTAATGTTCATAAACTATAGACTTCAGATTATTTATCACCATTGATGAACCAAAAAGGAAATGATATAGTTTCCAAACCGTACTTTGCCGTACAAATCATTGAAATGTCTGGGAGTTTTCGCTTTAAGCTGTGCGCGCTCCCGCGAGGTGCATGCATATCTCGACGGGCATGCATATTTCGGCACAACACCGGTGGTTATGTGGCACTCGGTGCATTTACCCAACCTCCGCCTCCACTCGATTGGTCACGCCTTAGTTTAGCGGTGCATATGCAACCCAGTCTCACGGCATTTCGTGTTATAGTCACGAAATGTAATCTATTGATTCGTGTTCACCAACGCGATTTTCCAATTTTTTTCGTGTCACACAGAACGATTTTAAAAGCAATGTAAATAATAACAAATTAGAAGGAAAAAATACAGATTTCAGTGTTCTGAGGCTCTGAGCCCCATTTATTTTCCTCACGGACGGCAAAAAAAGTCAGAGAAAATGTTTTTATGAACCACACAGCTTCCGGTCTTCCAAGACCCGACCGGACAAAAAGACGTGGTGCAGGCACGAAACATACTACCAATAGAAATGCATTGCTTTTAAAATCGTTCTGTGTGACCTGAAAAAAATGAGAAAATCGTTTTGGTGAACTATGAGGGGCCGTACAGGCCGTAATTCATACTGGTCCTCTCACGCACATACATTCTCCTTTTACATACATATATTTTCACTCTTATACACATATATTCCCCCTTTACATACATACATTTTCACTCTTACACATGTACATTCTCCTTTTACATACATATATTTTCACTCTTATACACATATATTCTCCTTTTACATACATACATTTTCACTCTTACACATGTACATTCTCCTTTTACATACATATATTTTCACTCTTACACACATATATTCTCCTTTTACATACATACATTTTCACTCTTACATACATACATTCTCCTTTTACATACATACATTTTCACTCTCACACATGTATATATTTACATTCACACATTCATACATTCTGCTCTCATATTATCATATTTCAATGCACACATTCATACATTGTCACTCACACATTTATACGTTTTTCACTCACACATTTTTACATTTTGTTCTCATATTCATATATTGTAATGCTCATATTTATACATTTTGCTCTCATGCACATTCATTCAATGTTTACATTTAATATTATAAATAATATATGCATGTATGAAGACAATATATGTATGCAAGAGAAGAATGTATGTATGAAGACAATATATGTATGCAAGAGAAGAATGCATGTATGTGTGAGAGAAAGTATAGTGGAAACGGAAGGAGTATGGTTGAAACGGAAGGCAGGTCATTATCGCGCTGTGATTGGCTCAGAAGGTCGAGCGGGGCGGGCTCATGTTCAGAACTTCTGATTCAAATCAACATGATGGAGGGAGATTAATCCGTGTATCTACTAGGGCTGTGCATCTTCACTGGTCTCACGATTCGATTCGATTACGATTATCCTGTCAACGATTCGATTCAATTCGATATCCCGATGCATCACGATTCATCACGATTCATACCAATGCGTTGCATCCTCAATTTTCTATATTACTGCACATGGCTTATTTTTCATCAATGCATACATGCAGTAAATACATATGAACTCTCTTTTTATTATTTAGAAAGTGCTTCAGAAATCAATAACATAAATGTCTTGACATTAATTTATAAACCAAAATAAATTAATTGTATAGGTCTAGCCTCCCTATATCTGTGTGTGAAGTTGTTCCATCCTCAAAAACTAAAAACGAATTGGTTCTATTGGTAGTATGTTTCTGCAGTCTAGCTGCAGCTTCTAGCAACGGTCTTCTGTTAAAAAAAGGACACTGAATGTCCTGAATGTGGCATCACACACAGGACTTGAGTCTGAACACAGCAGACAACAGGAGTATTTACAACAGCATATACAAACAAAAATACTGCATGTGGGTGCACACTTACATTCTCTGTCTTACTGTTACATAAATCCCATGAATGTATGAGATTAAGTTAGCTTCATTATATCTCAATCAGTGATTAAGTGAATAATAAAGTTTCTATCGGGTCACTATCAGCCTGTCACTCATTATTTTCAGGGAGGGGGCGGGGTTTGGAGGAACGGAGAGGAGACGGTGATCGCGGAAGCTTTTTTCCTCCTGCCTTCACAAACTTTACACACGTATATAATAATATCGTCTGAAAATTGCTAGAGGACATTCATACTCTGCAATCCAAGACTTAATTAAATCCACCAAAAACCTGACATGATTGTAACGCGATTATTTTTGAAAAACATAAATCCTTGTGTCTCTGAGCCGCAGCGACACGGAGTGATTCAGAGCGGGTCCTTCTGCTGTTGGTTCTGGACTGGTGTTCTTGTGTTGGTGGATAAAGCAGACTGCTCCGTGTTTGGTGCCGCTGTGCCGCTGTCACGTCTGTTCCCTGATCTCTGCGTCACCGACCGATTTGATATTAAAGTGACAGAAGAAAAAAAAACATTATAGTAAAGCCGCGGCCGGAAAATCAGGAAGCAACGTTACTACGCTATAATCGGTTATCTTCCGTCACTGCATCGATACCGAATCGTCCACGTCCGCATCGCAATGCATCGTAGAAACAGGGGCGGACTGGGACTAAAATTCAGCCCTGGAATCTGACCCAGACCAGCCACATTCGGGGGGTGGGGGGCGGTGGCATCAGAATCTTTTTTACAATAGCCTACTATTTATGCAGTTCAAGGCAGGGGCGGCAGGTACTGTAGGTTAGGGAAGGCTAAGCCTTAAATAATTGTGTCACTGCATCCTGGTAAAATAAAAATATAATGTATAATGTTTGTGTCTTTGACATTAGCGCTGCTATGCAGCCACTTGTGCCCTGTACTACGAAGCCAGTTCAACAGACCCTGGATATGTTTGAGTTATCTTAACTAACCCTAACAAACGAGATCTCGCTAAGCGGTCCTACGACGCTGGTTATCAACTCGGTAAATCAAGCCAGGGTTTCTCTCTCCAGCTGAGAGCACGTGAAAGGGGTGGGGTTAGCTACATTTGACCGTCACAAACAGGGACAAGTGTACTGACAGTGCAGCATCATACTTCATTAATGAAAAGTAAACTAATATTAGACAAATATGAACTTTAAACATCCATGACTTAAACATATAATCCAGGATACAAGCCACATAGTTGCACCTGCAAGGTGAATATATAACAACTGGTTAAAAAATAAATAAACTAGGCTACCGAGTGTTTGAATGCGTACAACAGTTTTATGATATCACTGCCCCATAAGACACGAGTGGATCTGACTTTAATTACATTTGAGTTGAGTGTTTCGTCAACATAATGTGTTGCTTAAAATAATACTTCTGCATACAGTATATGTGACAATGTAAGTGTTGCACGGCCAGATACGGCTCGAGAAGCTGACTCAGATAAGGAAATATTGTGATATTATATGATCGATGATCTGATTGATGATGTGATATGAATGATAAGTGCGACACGTTGGCGTCTTCTCTGCATACGGCAGTTTAAACTGTATTTCCTTTATCCTGTAATATGACTTGATATATTTAAACTTCGCACACTGAGCTCTGATTGGTCAGCAGGCGGTGCTTTCACTGAGTTGATCTCTTTTCTATAGACGCCGGAGGCGGGCAGCGTCAGGTAAAAAAAAGTTATTTAGCCTTCCCAAACCTGAGCCTCACGCGCCGCCTGGTTTAAGGGATAATTCTCA